ATTTTATACTGTTGTTTTCTATTTTTTTTTAATAAACCTTGCAACAACTCTTTGAAAAATACTTACAAATCTTATCATATATTGTTACATTGATCATTTGTCGAGATTACTTGGTTGAACAATTATTAAAGGTAAAACAAAGACAAATGTTGTAATATTGTGAGAAATAGAGAGACCAACATTATCACTTATAGAAGTGCTTCATGAATTTTGGATTGACATTACACATATTAGTGACCTGCCAAAAAGGACTCGTATTTTGATGGACCGAAGTCGGGAATGAAATAACAAGATGGACCAAGTGTGAACCACTTAAATATTTGTGTCTATTTGTTTTTTTTGCTTTCTTTCATGTTGTAATTGGTGTATTGTATTTCTTTACTTTGTATTTGACTAATTGTATTGCATCGTACATACCCACTCCTTGATGTACTTTTTTTAAACTATTGATCATGTGGTTGTGTAGTTCTTATATATTATACACCCTCTAATGGGATCGTTTTCTATATAGTTAGGTCCAAGTGATTTTATGGTTTCATCCGATATCTAACTTGTATCCTAACTTGAGTAAATTACACGAATGGTCCCTATGGTTTGGGGTAATTTGCACGTTTGGTCCCTAAATTAATTTTTTAATTTGGAAGGTCCATATTGTTTGTTATTGTTACACGCTTAGTCCCTATTGTTTGTTTTTGTTACGCATTTGGTCCTATCTTGCGTAGAAAGACGACAAGAGTAAATTACTGAAATGATCCCTATGGTTTGGTCAAAATTACACGTTTGGTTCCTAACCTTTTTTTTTGTACTCGGATCGTCCATGTGATTTGATTTTATTGCGTTTTTCATCCTATGGTTTTGTCAAAATTGCATGTTTGGTCCCTAACTTTATGTATGTAAAGGACGAAAAACGCAACAAAATCAAACCACAAGGATGATCCGAATGCAAAAAAAAGTTATGAACCAAACATGTAATTTTGACTAAACCATAGGAAACATTTCAGTAATTTACTACAATTATTTAAATAGAGAAAAATGGTAGGGTAAATAAGATAAGGTAAGGGGGTGGGGTTAGGGTGGGGTTATTTAAATAAATTAAATAATCAAAGGAAAAATAGACTTTTTATATAAGACAAGAATCAAGCGTGTAACAAAAACAAACAGTAGAGATCTTCCGAATTAGAAAAATAAGTTAGGGATCAAATGCGTAAATTACCCTAAACTATAGGGACCATTCGTGTAATTTACCCCTAACTTTGTTTAGTATCTTGGTTACTAAAGTTTATTTTGGCGTTTTGTTTATAAAGACCTCAAGGCCTAAAATTTGAAGGAAAAAAAAAAAAAAAAAAAAAAAACCCCTCCAAGGTGATATATCCCCTCCTACGAATCCATGCACATTTACCATAGTGAGGTACTTACATGATCATACAAAACACATTTATTGTGAATGACATCTCCAAACCAACACCAAATCCTATTTTTTTACATCAAAATGGTATAAAATCATCTCCAACCTCAATTAAACCTTGTCAAAGTTTCATATGTTACTTTTAGTCCCTTAAATTATATGTTTATTTGTTTTTTTTATTGTGTAGTAAATATATTTTATGAAGATTCTACAACAAAAATGATGTAAATAATATAAAAATAATGTAATTCGAGATGAAAAAGTCTTAATATCATTTTTACACAGTGTGAAAAATAGAATTGGATTGGGATGGTTTCTCTTTTGATCATATTGTTCTATAATTGTGTTAGAACCTTCGCGCAAAAAATGAGCAAGCTTTGAAGATCAATGTTACAGAAAAGCTGGTGCTGGTGTCTGCGTCGCCGGCATGGCTTTAATTCCTTGTCACGGCGGCGTTAATGGCGGATATCAATAAGGTCACGTACCTTCAAGGCTTCAAAGGCCACCAACTTCTTGAATTAACCAAAACTCGAAAACGAAGCAACTCGAGAAAAACAGGGGGGATTCATTTCCGTGGATAAATATTTTGACAACTGAAAAAGAGATCTTTATTCCCCATTTTCTCGATCCTTCCCATCAAAAATCATCGAAGCTCGTTCCACATGTGCGGAAATTCGTGTAATTTGTTGCTACAGAGGAGACATCATAACGTGAGAGATTTCATTCCCCTGTTTTTGAACCTTTTTACGAGATGTGATTAACAAATTTTCGGGATCTCTCGCCAAATGCTTAACGTACAGGTAACGTTTATTCTTCATCTACAGTTTCAATTAAGATTCTTTATTGTTGCACTTATTTCCCTTTTCTCTGATTGTATAAAGACCATGTTTAAATATTCAAAAAAGGAAAACGATACTGTTCCTTATCGTCCTTCAATTATTTTGTTTATTCCATCATGTTGTGTAATCATGCAATTCATATGCATGAGGAGTGTGGCGCATGCCCACCATCTGTTTGTTATAATGCCTAAACCAATTTACGCTACAACACTGCTGAATCTTTTTATCATTATGTTACCCAACAAGTAAAACTATCGTCTATACTTCCAAATCCATGTTCTTGAATATGTCACTCAGTTGTTTACTCGGAAGCAATACCAACAGAAGAATTCAGATCATGAAAAATGGGAAATCACATATTGTTCCAGAAAACTACGATTCGGTTCCAAGATCTTTACCTTCTTCAATCGGAGATAGCAAATGGGATGATTTCCCCGGCGAGTTGCTTCTCGACATAATCCGGCGAGTGGAAGGTGGTGAAACCTCATGGCCAGGTAGGAGAGATTTCGTCGCTTGTGCTTCGGTTTGCAGATTCTGGCGAAACACAGTAAAGCAAATCGTTAGAACACCTGAACAATGCGGATTAATCACATTCCCCTTGTCGTTAAAACAGGTACTTTGATCAATCAATCAATCAATCATCTTCAAATCTCAAATCAATTTTGTGTTTCTAACTTCGATACGTTTGAATTACTTCGTTTTAGCCTGGATCGAGAAAGGATCCGATTCAATGCTTTATAAGGCGAGATAGAGCTAATTCGATCTTCCGGTTGTTTCTAGGCCTGAGCCCAGGTAAAAAAAAATGTGTTTTTTACTTTTTACTTTTTTACTTTTGATTGGTGACTAAAAAGAGAATAAAGTAAAGTAAACTTGGATAATTGATTGTTTTTCCTTTCAAAAATTCAAAAAAATTTACAGTTTCTGTAAATTAAAATTACAGCGTTAGCTGGTGATGCAAGTAAGTTACTATTGGCTGCAAAGAAGGTGAGAAAAGCCACAGGGACAGAGTTTTCAATCTCCTTAACTCCCGACGAATTTTCCAAATCTAGCCTTACTTATGTTGGAAAGCTAAGGTTATCTTCTTTCTTTCACCCTATTAATTTCCATTTTTGCCCCCACATACTTTTATAGCCACATCACATGTCCAAATCTAGGGTTTTTCCGATATCATTTACTTTTTTCATGAAACTCTCGGTGAATTACTTTTTTTCATGTTGGCTGAGATTGAAAAAAACTCTCTTAAAACACTGTGATTTACTTTTTTTGATGTTGGCTGAGAGACTGACTGTTAATTTGAATAAACTATTTACAGTTCCAATTTTCTCGGCACAAAATTCGCAATTCACGATGTGGAACCTTTTAACGACTCTTCAACAAATAAAAAAATACCGAAATTTGGTTTAAAAAAAATATCGCCAGTGTTGAAGTCCAAAGTGGTCACCATATCTTACGAGCTTAATGTTCTACGCACAAGAGGACCAAGAAGAATGAATTGCACGATGAACTCGATCCCCGATTCCGATCAAACCGGAAAGAAACACGAGACACCGGAATCGGAATCGGTGATTCCGATTCCGATTCCGGTTGTGGAAAGGAAAGATTCGTTGGTTTTGAGAAACAAGGCGCCGAGGTGGCACGAGCAGTTGCAGTGTTGGTGTTTGAATTTTAAAGGGCGGGTTACGGTGGCGTCTGTTAAGAATTTTCAACTGGCGGTTGATAGTGGGGGAGGTGTGGAGGAAGATGATGTGGTGTTGCAGTTTGGGAAGATTGGGAAAGATATTTTTACAATGGATTATCGGTACCCGTTGTCGGCTTTTCAAGCGTTTGCGATTTGTTTAAGTAGTTTTGATACTAAACCCGCTTGTGAATGAAAATTGTACTAATTGTTGTGATAATATTATCCGATTTATGTTTTTTTTTTTTTTTTGTTTGGGTTTCATGTAAATATATTTGTGTAAGAGTTATCATTGTTACAAATAGGTTGAATAGGTTATTGCTCTATCAAATTTTACATTTTGACTTAGATTTTAAATTTTAATACGAATTGGACCGAATTTAAAATTTAGTTATGAATTCATCCTAATTTTTATTTTTTAAATTTATTTTTCTACAACTTTTTATTAGAAAAAAAAAATCTTAACTTTTTTCCAGCTTTTAAAATAAATCTATTAGACTATTACAATAATTTCTTACATTTTTTTCCAACTCCAACTCTTAGAGATTGGGAAACCAATTTTTAGAGTTGATTGTGCACAACTGGATTTGATGAAATAGCATATATTATTTAAAATTAGAGGAATAATTAACCAATTTTGTAAAATTATTTATTTAAAAAAAAAAAAAAAAAAAACTAGTTTGCATATGAGGCAATGTAGAAGTTGGAATAAAAAAGTAAGAAATTTTTTTTTTTAATTGAAAAAAAAAAGTTTTAAGATAATTTTTTTATAAGCAGTTAAAGAAGTCTTTAAAAAGTTGTAGAAAATAAATTTGTAAAAGAAACTAACATTTGACATGAAAACTTTATCATACATTTAAATCGGGACCAAACTTGTAACAAAATTTAAAATTCAAGCCAAAAATGTAAAATTTTAAAAGGGTGTGACATTTCAACTTGAGATAACAAATAGCAATCCAGAAAACATAAGTTAGTTACGATTTTAAAAAACATAAAATCAGCAACTTTGATACATTGTGACCATTAAGTTTCAACATTTTTTTCACTAAATTTATTTTACGAAAAAGCAATAAAAAAAAAAGTGAGATACAAACCTTTTCCAAAAGATGGAAATAAGAAACAAGTTTTACATCAAAGCAAAAACGTAATCCATATATTCCATACAATCTTTTTCTATCCTAAACTCTAACAACTTCTATAATAATAATAATAATTAATAAATAAAGCAACATATATATATTATCAAATCAAATGATCCAATAACCCTTTTTTCTTCCTCAGTTTCAAGTTTCAAGACCACAAGTTATTACCAAAAGTGAGAAAATCCAACAAAATATCCATCAAACAAGAATATGAATCACAAAACTATCTCATGAAAGAAGATCTCTTCCGATTAAACGTCTGAGCAGCTTGTAAACTCACACTCAACTGTTCAGACACTTTAAACCCTTGTTCCTTCATCATGTTATGTATCCTTTCAGCATCTTGCTTAAATCCACCAGCAATAAGACCACTTATAACTTTCTCAAATTCATCACCTCTCAACTTCTCCTTATTAGCTTCAACAACACCAAGTGCTTGAAGAGCCTTCTTCTCTTCTCTACCTCTTGCATACATATCACAAAGACTTAAATGAACTGATAATGAAGGATCCACACCTTTCTCAGATAACTTCCCCAAAATACCCTCCACTTCTTCCATCAATTGCAACTTCCCTAACCAATCGATGAGGACAGAATAAGTCTCGACACCATGTTCAGTTCCTTCTTTCTCAAGCTGTAGCAGAAGTTGTAGACCTTTGTCTAGAAGATTCTTTTTAGCATAAGCTGAAATCATTCTAGCAATGCAGTTGTCGTTTGGTTTGTATCCGAGTTTGATGATTTCATCAAAATGTTTTCTTGCTTGATCAGGGTTGCCTTTTCGGCTGTAGGCTTCAACAAGATAAGTGCATGATTCAAGGCTTTTTGGGAATCCTGCAAATTCCATACGGGTGAAGATTCGATGTGCTCCGATTGGGTCTCCGTTTTGAGCATAGGATTTGAGTAATGCAAGAAATGTGGTTTCAGAGGGTTTGAAGTTTTGTGACTCTAGATCTCTCATTAAAGCTTCACTGGATTTTCGATCACCTGTGTTGATGTAAGCCATGATCATGGAGTTGTAGACTTTGAGGTCTGGTTGGAAGCCTAAGGTTTTTAAGCTATCGAATGCTTCTTTTGCAAGATTCAGATTGCCTGATTTGCTGTACATGTGGACCATTGTGGTTTTTGTTAGGATGTCTGGTGATATGCCCTTTTCGGTCATTTTCTTGATGATTCTTTCTGCGTTTTCTAATTGGTTGTTTTTGGCGTAGGCATCAATTAGGTGTGAATAATCTCTTATGGTGGTTTGGAAAGATTCTTCATCGAGTAACAGTTCTGTAACCTTGTAAAGAAGAATAAGAAGAAGAAGAAGAAGAAGAAGAAGAGAAGATTGCAGAAGTTAAGTAATTGAAAACTTTTGAAATACATGTTGAGAGAAGAATGAAAGATTGAGTACCTTGAAGTATAGTTGATCGTTTTGTTGTTTTAATCTGTTAAGCAATGCAATCCAGTCAATCCTGTTAGGTTGTTGTAGCTCTATCCATTCTGTAATCAGTGGTGAAGGATCATTATCTACTTGTAATGAAAGTAGTTTCTCTGTAACAATCTTTGATTTTCCAGATATTGGTTTTGGTTCTTGAGGCCATACAGATCCTCCAGTTTCATGGATATGATCAGCCACTTCTGCCCATTTGGGTTTGGAAAGATCAAGGCCATAGATCTTGTATTTAATCTTTCCACTCCTTTTGGGTAAAGAAATCTCCTCAGCATCATCTTCTTTCTCAATGTTATCTTCATGAAATTCGGTTGTTTCTGTTTCTGATTCTGGTTCTTGTTCTTGTTCCTTAGCTTCTTGTCTTAAAAGCTCCAATGAATCATAAAACTCACTATCTTCCAATTTCTCACGAGCCCATTTGAATCTAAGCTCTCTCAGCAAGTCTCCTCGTATCCCTATTTCACCAGCAAATCGTGCCATATCTTTAACTTCTTCAGACTGAAGAAAACTCTTCATTTTTTCCTTCTTTTTAGCCTTCTTCATATCTTCTACAACAATGTTGCTAACCTCCCACACTGTTTTCCATAAATCCTCACTAAAATCTTGGGACACAGAGGCTGTTTCAGAGCCAAGAAACGACTCTAGACGACCTGCCTCCATTTCTGATACAACCTTCTCAACGATGATATGAAGCATTGCATCGATTTCTTTCTTATCAGCATCGGTATAAACCTCTGTAAGCTTTCCTCTCATGATCCAAACGAATCTAGATAAGAATTCATTCATTACCACATCATCATCGTCCTCTGAGTTTACAGAAACAGTCTCTACAGCGTTGGTACTGCTCGGAACAGTTTGTTGACCAGAATGAACAAATCTATAGAAGAATGAATGCGCCATCGGCGTTTTAGGGTTTCCAATCCGGGAATCCTCTTTATGATATTCTGGAAGGTGAATCAGAGGGGTAATACAACGACTGGTGCAAACCTCTCTGTAATTCCATGATGGAGTTCTTCTACCGCTAAATCTTGACACCTTGTTGATTGTCAGTCTCGATAAGAAATGCTTCAGATTCATTTTATAAACCCTTGATCTTTCTTTTAGAACGACAGACAAAGCGAAAAATCAAAATCAAACTGATTTATTCAGAAATTTTCTTAACCAGAAAATTGCACTTTCATCTCTGAACTGTAATAAATCAGATATCCATCAATGCCGCATGTACGATCAGCTAAAAAAACCCTGGTGCATCCAATTTGCAATGACAAAAGCTGCAAAATTATTAGAAAATGTAATCACAAAATACACATACCGATCACTAAAACATACATTTGTAAATGATTCTTACATATAAAAAAACAGATCCTCGCCTGATAGCAATCGAGCAGCAGAACGCTCGGTTTTCGTCAAGTCCAGATATTACTACTACACCATGTAGCGAGTGAAGGCTTAAAGCTAGGGTTTTTCTTTCTCGACATCTTATAGAAACTTTACAAATGTTATCCCTATGGTTTACACGAGTGCATAAAATACCCTATACTTTAGTTTTCTAATTTGAGCTTGTAAAAGTAAAACCCAAAGGAATTGAGATCGTGTAACTTGTCAAAATAATTTGGAGTTATTAATTTAAATTTAAATGATAATAAAGAGATTAATATATAGAGTAGGACATACCATAAACAAATCATGTGATCCATTAAAAACTGATTCACGTATTTGTTATTCTAGTGATCTATCGTCTTATTTGTTCTCAGGGCCGACCCAAATGATGTTTAATGAGTGTTTATGAACAGGATCCACTAAAATATAGGACCCATTTTCTTCAGATGTTATATTAGGGTATTTTTAGATTTTTTGGACGTATCATATGAGAAAGGAAACGATGCAAGCTCAATGGACGTATCATAGGACCCATTCTAAGAAGAAGGGAGAGTAGCTTTTATGCTTTATGATAGGTCTTAATGATTAAAAACCATATCTCAATTGATCCTCTAAGTGAGTCTTAGTACAATTGTATGTTTGAGAAGAGGAATCAAGGATTGAAGAAATGGTTAAATCAAGAAGTCAATCATACTTCGTCCCAATAACAAGTCTTAAAGTTAAGATTGTGACAATGAGTGAAAAGTATTAAAGGTTTATAACATTCATCAAATGTGGAAAATTGTGATGTCTTGAATAAGACAAAGACCAACTAGAGCCAATTTATGAAGTGTTTTGATAAAAACTACACTAACTCTTGGATATTTGTTTGTCAAGAAATGGTTATTGACAAAAGAATCCTATATATGTCAAGGAGTCAGTGGGAGTTTTAATGGACTTGAAAAGTTTCAAGAACAAATCAAATAAACCTTAACGATCATCACTAGCACACGAGTTGAGGTTTACAACCTATCGTGTTGACATTAATTTGTTTCTGTGTTGTTCCAATTGAGTTAATTATGCATGTGAGTCCTATGAGTTCTCATTTAGAACGCATAAAAGGCAAAGCACCTTAATCAATGAAAGGTACATTGATAATAGAAAGGGTGATCTGCTTAACTACTTGGAAGACATGGTGGGCAGCTGTGCTACCATAAGGCAAGAAATCAAGTTTAAGAAAGTTCGGTCCATATGAGTTTGAATTTGTCGTAAACTTTGGTTTTAACAAATTCACATGGATAGGAACAAATACACCGCTTTAAATCTAAGTGTCATAAGATTTCCTACTTCATGAAAATGATTGTGAGGAAATGCTTTCACTAAGAAAGATTTTAAGAAGATAGTGCTTGTAAAATTTTATTCTCAAATTCAATTATGGTTACGGTATCCCTTTCCATGATTTGAATTGTGAGGTTTGGCAATTAGTCTTAAATGTTTAGACACATATGAATTATCTAAGGCAAAGGTGTATAAGTTCAAGAAGCCTTGATAAAAGATTATCAAAGCATTAAGTATTAGAAACATGAACTTAAGAAATTCAATAGGTATTGTTTTTCTGGAAGTTAAGATGTTTTGAATACATGTCGAAGCTAGTGGGAGCATAAGTGTTATGTTTTATAGTAATCATCATGATAGTGGGAGCATAAAAGTTATGATTGTATGATTATTATGGAAAGTATTGCAAGTTGGCAATATTAATTATAGAAAACAAGAGTTATACCTTGCAAAGTCGTAAGGGTTGTAAAGTTGTTTTGCTATAATTAAGGGAGAGAATATTATGCTTCATTTCAAATCTAAAGGATTAGGTTGAGAAATGTTAATAAATTTAGTCAAAGGTACATAGTGTGTTCTTAAAATTTCGATTATGATTACGGCATTCCTCTTCATAATTCGAATTTTGAGAACATAGCAAATAAAACATTATGCGTCGTGTCTCATACGCTTCGGGTATAGGATCGATTGCAAATGCTTTAATATTTGACCATTCTAAAATTTTCAAAATGTCTAGCGCATTTAGAGGAAAAAGGGACTAGAATTGGTTTTGACTAAAATAATTAAACAACTAACAAAGGACAATCCAAAGTTCGACGAGGATTGGTTGCTTGTGAGTAGTTGGAAGAATGGTATTAATGGACCATATTGACATTATGATGAATAGAAAAGATTCTATTAAGAATGAGTTGTCATATGGAAAATGTGGAAATGTTTCCATATTGGATGGACCATATCGACCTTATTATGAATAGAAAATATTCTATTAAGAATAAGTTGTCATATGGAACATATGGAAGCGTGTCTATATTGGGAAGTAAATATTAAAAAATCTATGACTAGATTAGAAACTTTTATGCAAAAGGATGTTCAAAGGAATGTACTTTGAGTGAGAGACATCATATCTAAGGAATTGTCTTGTAACAATCTCCGTTAGAGAACTTTGTAATATCATTGGCAATAGTCTTTATGACTTTGGTGCAATGACATTACGAAAGGATCGTTGCATAGAATGTTAGAATCTAGCATATTCTGTAAGTAGCAAGAATTTGATATTCTCACACTTATGAAAACCGGATTTGGAGTTGTGAAATGAGAATGATTGGAAATGTGCTCAATTTGTCTATTTCACAAAAGTAAGAACCATAGGTAAACATTGTGTGCATGCTAGGAGCATGGGACAAGTGTAATAATTCAAGTAAGAAGTTGATTACCCGAAACGACAAATAATGAGTAATCGGTATGGTGATAAATAAAAGGAGTTTTATTTATACTCAAAAGTTTGAGGCCATATGGGATTAGTATTATTCTTGTGTTTCACTTTGCATGTTTTGACTTCCAGAATAATTGAGTTTATTAAGAATAATCGAATTATTCGAACGGGCCACAGTCGTTCATATGTTGGAAGTAGATATGAATGAAGACTGTCATGAATTGGTGTGTGGATTGTCTAGAAAAGTATTAGACATAAGCAAATGTTTGCTGCAATGTTCATGAGTGCTTACGAATATGATTTGAGCATTGGATTAAACCCACGCTCACTTGGATCGCTCCATGAATTGTATCACGAGTGATTTGTGAGACGATAACATCTTATATTCTTGAAACCGAGATGTGTGAGTTGTATCTTGCGAATCGGTTCCACGTTGATAATATGTAAACGCACTAGTAACTTGGTGTTATAAAACATATTGTTGTGTGTAATTCGGTGAGTGAGTGCAAGCGAGCATTGTATCAAAGTTTATCCGTTCCTTTTATCCAAAGTAGGATAAAAGCGATATCTTTGGGCCCCTCGATGGTTTAGTGATGACATACGTAAATGCTCGACCGGGCCAGGGCTAATTTGATTTGTTCAATTAGTCTGTCGTCATAAATCAGAAATCGAGAAGTAGTACAAAGAGAATGATTAGAAATCATATCTCATATGATATCTAGAATGGAGGAATATATGATCCCTTATCTAAGGACACGCGTATTTTGATATGATCAGAGTTGACAGCGGCTTTGGAAAGCTACGATTGCAGATCAGGATCTAAAGTCATACGCAGAATAGTTATTAGACTTATCCAAGTGGGAGACTGTTGGATTAGTGTCTAAGTCCATAACTATTTTGGTATGTACTTGACCCGATGATGCATGGTCCTTTTGGGTTGCCTTCACCGAAGCAACTTGATTGGAGAAATATATAGAGAGAGAGGATAATATGATTTATTAATATGTTATAAGAATAATATATTAAAGGAGAAATCATATTTGTTTAATTATTATTGGTCAATAATTAATTAAGAATTAATTTTGTGATCAAGTGTAATTAATTAAACTAGAGGGGTTGAATTGTAATTATGTGATAGTTACAAAATAAGGTAAGGATTATCTTAAATATATGGTGAACGAATTTAAGGTGATAATGCCTTAGAATTCGACTAGGATAAGGGTTTCTAAGACTTATCTTATGGTTGCTTGGTGGACAAGCAACTAGATAAGGATAAGGACTAAAACCCTAATCCTAACCCTATATAAAGACCCCTAAGGCCTTAGAATTCGTGGACTTGATCCCTAGAGCATCTAAGGACGAATTCTAACCTCTCTCCTCTCTCTTTATACCTTCTCCATTTGCTCTTGGTGTTTGTAAGCCATTAGAGGAGTGACACTTGTGACTCTAAGCCTTCCAAAGTCAATACAAGGAGATTTGGGATTGTTATTGCTACATAACAATCAAGGTAATATTATAAACCTATTCTTATGTTAATATGATTACTTATATGCTAGTATTAGGGTTTCTTTATGTGTTCATAATGTTGTGTATCTAATAGTGAAAACATAGATCCAATTCTAGGGTTGCATGCACACATAGGATTGTTTGTACAAAACCCAACAGTAATGAAGTCTCACACTTGAAGGAAGGCTCATACTAGGCAAGGCTGATAACTTTATCGATGTAAAGGTCAAAGGGAGTCCAGATCTGAAGTTACAACTTCAGATCTTAGCTCAAACATAAAACCCCTTTCATAAAACCCATCCAAAAAAGATTTTTGATGAACATGAGCCAAGGAAAACAGTCTAATACCTTATAGAGAATGTCCTTTTGAGCGGTCATTTAGGGGCCTTGTACCGAGCCATTAGATGAGAGAGGTCATTCAGTGTAAGACCTGAGGTAGACGAACGGT